GTGCGCTATGATGCAGTTTACTTGGCATTTGATTTGATTTATTGATTCAACAGGAAAATATTACTAAAAATCAAGCCTGACTCAGCATAATTGCTGTTTTACAGCAGGTTCCTGTTCTGCAGCACATAAAACACTCAGAAATACAGCATCACAATCACATCATTATACACCATAGACACAAAGACAAACAAGATTTTAATAGATAATGAGGATAAAGAAGAAAACCCACCTGGCTTTTTAAGCCCAAACTGTATATTTTGTAGATAAACATGTTTTCTCCTGTTTGTGTAAATATATGGAAGATATTTGTGCACAAAGTATTTTGTACTGTTCTTGTCTGAATCAGACCCCMCTTGGTGGATTAACAAGATTAAACAGACCACTAATCTGACAGGCTAGGGATTAGATTTAGAGGCAGGTACAAAGACTGGGAGAATCTCACCTGTAATTGTAGCTKAACAGGGGTTCCAGAGATGATGTGTGGGCGGGAACATGCAATCATAAAAATACAGGCCTTTGAGACTTCTGTACCTTTAACACACGTAAAGTATAATTTAAGGTGAAACGAGTAAAACTGGGTGTAGCTTCGTGTTCTGTCTTTCAACATCTAAACCGTCTGCGACCGATGGGGATGATTTGAAATATTACAGTTTGATTCTCCTCAAGCTTCATGGACTCCCATGGTTTTTAACTGGTGTTGCTTTTTTGTTTATGTGTGTGTGTGTGTTTTGAGAATGTGGTACCTTTTTTTTTGTTTAAGCATTTTAAATAAAACTCTAATTTACACTCACACGTGTTCTTTTGTTAAACTATATTTTCTATCTAACTGAACTTTTGGGTGAAATTGCAGATAAGAAAACCTGATTTTTGACAGATAAATTTTCTGTATGAAGTCTGAAAGTGTGCAAACATCCTTTGTGTATAAGTACTCAGAGTCAGCTTAAGGTCATTGGTGTCGAATTCCTTTTCACAGAGAGCTACATTAGCGTTATGGTGGCCCTCTGTTGTAATTAACTTTGTTTTGTGCTTAAATTCAACTAAACACAAAATATCATGTTCCTCATCTCATTGCTACAGCTGAGCTCTGTTAACAACTGAATAACTGAGCTCTACATGGTATTACCTACATAGAAACAGCATTACGACTGACTGAAAGTGAAATAAATAATATAAAAATACTATTAAACTAAAAATGTTTTACTCACTGTTGAGTAGCAGTGAGTAGCTGGCGCCTTGAATTCTGGAAACTCCCACTTTCACACAGGGAATTCACACTGGACGGGTGTTCCAGTTTAAATTAGCAAATATTTGAAAAATTTCCAATTGGGTTGCAGCAAAAGTAGTCAGCAAAATTGGGATTTTCCACAGTAAATTTCACCAGCTACTGCCTACTTTTGAACACTGTGCACCTCCATTCAGTGGTGCAGTCAGTTTGCAGTAAAATAGTCAACATGCATTATGGGAAATGTAGTTTTTGGTCAATGATGACTTTAAAGCATCTTTGAAACTCTGGCGGGCCACATCTAACCTGCTGGCCTTGCGTTTGGCGCATATCCCTTAGATGGACTGTCCATGTGATTTAAATGGATGATGCCTGATTGCCAACAGCTGACTTCTCCTCTCCAGCATGGCAAGAAAGAAGTGGGTCGGTCAAAGCTTGGATACAAAGGCTGTGCTTGCAGTGTCTGTCAGGATGCAACAATCCCCTTTCAACCCACCACTGTTTATGCCGAAGTTTGATATTAAGATCATCTGTTGAGAAATGATGTAGCCGTTTTGGTCGAACCTTGAATGCACAATCACATACCAATGGATGTCACGTCCAGAGTATATGTTCTGAATAACTCTGTTACCTCAGTATCAAATTTTAGTTGGAGCCATTTTTATGTTTTGTAAGATCAGCTGACTGAAGCGGCCCCCTTGTATCTGATTAACTTCTAAAATTAATTAATCTTTTCTTTTTGAAAGCTGAATTAATGTATGTTTAGTGTGAAATGAAATGCTGTGCTAACATACAAAAAACAATATGCTGTAACTCTTCAAGGATTATGTGGCTGTTTTATTTTAAAGAGAAAAAAATCACTTATGAGGTGTAATGCTGCGTTCACACCGAACGCGATTTCAGCTTCAAAATCGCAGCCAACGCTAAAGTTTGAAGCTTGTGCACTTTGAGGTCAGACGCAGGTCAGCTCTTGAAGCGCTGCACGGCAGAGCCTCCCCGCCCCTCCCTCCTCTGTCTGGCTCTGTTTAATGTCGGACGAGGAAGTGGCTTTGCTTTATTTACAGAGAACAAGAGCATGTCACGTTCATCAGATAATTAATTCATAATTAATTCACCAGATAATTCAGAGAAGAGGCTCACAGCTCGCTTTCAGGACWATTTTTCCAGTCTGACGAGTCGCTGCCATGCATTGCTGCGGATCAGGACACAGACTGCAGGCACTCATTTCAGCTAAAGAGCTCCTCTCCATCTGTTTCAGGTTAGTGGACATCATTCAGTAAACTGTCCCGTCGGGAAATATGTCGCTACGTCACACAGTGGAGTCTCTCTGATTGGTTGATGCTGCGCGTCGAGCTGCAAAAGTTCAGATTTTCTAACTTCAGCGATTTGCGCCTCAGCACGTCGAACGCTCAGATCGTTCAAATCGCGCTGCTCTAATCGCGCTTGAGGCGCCGCAGCACTTCCTGACGTTGCTTGAAGCGCGTCCACCATAGACTTTGTATGTAAACCTGCTGCTCCTGACGCTGAAATCGCGTTCGGTGTGAACGCACCATAAGACTTCTGATTTGCACCAACTTCTACTTTCTTAAAATAAATATAACTAATAAAAGTAATTTTTCTGCTACATTTATAAAAAGGTAAAGTAACATTGTGCTGTGTGTTTAAAGTAGTTCTTCGTGTATATAGTTACAAAGATTTGTTGTTTTAGTATGTCCGACAGGCCCCTTCACTGTCCATTTTTAAGACTCATTTAAAAACTTATTTTTTCTCACTGTCGTTCAACCCAACTGAGATTTGATTTTACTTAACTTTTACTGTACTGGTGCTGATTTTACTTATTTAACTGTGTGATTTTATTGTGTTTTTGTATTCAGTTTTTATTTTATGTGTTCAGCACTTTGTTTCAGCAGTGGCTGATGTTATAGCGCTTTATAAATAAAGTTTGATTGATTGATTGATTGATTGATTGATTGATAGTATTTAAGTCGTGAGAAAATAACAGTAACACAAAAAGTCAAGTTGAATGGACAAAACAAGCCACACAGACAACTTCTGCCTTTCTCTGCAAGAGTTCTTGTTTTACCTTTTGAACACCCACTGACAAGCTCCTGATTTACGACATGATAAATGATTCTTTGCAACAAGATTTATTAAAACCAAGTGCTGCAGATTTAGTTTGAGTTAGTCAAGGTTTCCCCAGCTGCAGAAAGGCACCAGCCACAAAAATAAACCAGTATTTAGAGCGAAATAAACACAGGAGCCTTTGGGACATTTGTTGGCGGCAGTTTTGAAAGCCACTGTCATCCCTCATTTAAAACAATATTTCTCACTGGCATTTTGTAAAAGTCCTGTTTACGTAGGGATTTTCTTGAAAAACATTATGTCAAAACAGCAGGGAATGGAAAACATGTATCATGGTTTTTACAGGAATATTTGGCCTTTCTGCTGCTGGCTGAATTCATGGTTGTGTCTCTCTGCAAMTAACCATGAACGTACATTTACTGCATATTCAGTACATACTAAACATAATACCTAAACAAAGCTGGACCACATTATATCATAAAATAGTGTTGCTTTTGTAATGCAGACTGGATAAAGACCCTTGTTAGTGCAAACAAGGACCTGATCCGTCGATCCGTCTCAGCAACACAACCAAATACTTATATTTGTGGCAGAAACTCATCCCCAACCTGGACAGAGCATTCAACCATTTTCCACTTGAGAACTGTGGTCTAAGAGGAGCTGAATCTCATCCCACTTTTTGGAGACACATCACCCAGAGGTTCGCAAACCAGACCCTCTTCTTCACAACTGAACCTTAAGATCCTGTTCATGAGCGCCACAAAACAGACTGGAATCAAGAGACGGTCCTTGTGGGGTCCAACTTACTCCTGGAATGAGCTTGACTTAGAGCCGAGGATGAGGATAAAGTTGTTGCTTTGATTCTACAGCACGCGTCAAACTCGAGGCCCACAGGCCAAACGTGGTCCGCCACAACCTTTTATGTGACCCGCAAGAGCTTCAAAATTGTTTTAATGTCTTAAAATAAGTGCACGCAGCTTTAAAGCCAGCATTGACCA